GACGGCGAGGTCGATTCGTTGCGGACCCACTCTGGTGCCGCGTCCGTCTTGGTGAAGTCGGAGCGGCGACTGGTCTTGTGCCGGTCGTACCTCGCCTACCGCTGCGCCGCGTGCTCTTCCTCGGATACCACGGCCCGAGGCTAGAGGCACCGCCGTAACCGCCGCCTCCGAGATAGTGGAGGATGCGGCCACGCACCCTAGAAATCGCAAGCGACAGCTCCTCCTTCACACGACATTGTTGCCGTCGTGGCGATGAGGACCCGTCGATCTGTGCGTAGCGACTGTGTGGCTCCTCCTTCACGTGGCAAAGGCGCTAGAGGGACGCCGGCTCTTGATTCACGCGGTCGCCAATGTGGAGGCCACGGTTGCGTAGCGGGCACACCGGCTCGTCCTTCACCTATCTACGTAGGGATGTCGGTTCGTCCTTCACCTGCCGGAGTGGGGATGTCAGCTCCCGCTTAACATGGACCCACGGCGGGGAGGGTGGCTCCTCCTTCACGCGCACCGGTGATGGTGGCGTCGAACCCATCTGACGGAGCAAGCGCTTCGTCATGATTTTTATCTGACGGATGAATTTCGTCCATCAGAGCCGCCTCCGAGAGTAGACCTGACCGCTGTTGTGGCTGATCCTCCTCATCGCCGGAGGAGATGACTATGTCCTCCTTGCCGGAGGAGGCCACCGCCGTGGATACGGATGATCCAGGTGAGCAAGGACGATGACGCCATGATCCGCCTGATGATGAACTTTCACCGGTGCCTCCTACCGACACGGAGAACTAGGACTTCGGCATCGCCGCTGGGCTCAGAGAGGGCGAAGGGATCGGAGAGGGGGAGGAGTAGGGTGTGGTGCTCTGGCGGGTGCGGATCTGGAAGACGCCTGAGTGTTGCTTAAATAGCGATGGCCAGGGCAGGCGGAGGGGCGGTCAGCCCAGTTCAATGCGGCACAACAGCCGGAGTTGACACAGCATCCGCATTGAAGCGGCGGTGATGCCCGAGAGGTCGCTTTCGTCTGCGCCGCCTTCCCATTCGGTCAAATCGCGGCATCAATGTCGGCTGTTGCATGCTCTGGGACGACATGAATGCGGCACATTAAGCGGTGCGAGGCGTGGGATGGAAAGCGCGGGACGGGCGGATGGGGTTTTTTGGTGGGCCAGGGAGGTCAAAAGCGGGCTAGGGAGCGGTGCTAACTCCCGCAAATCTCCCCCACTTTTGTCTCCGGTTTACTGGAGAAATCACGTCCGGGCCGATACAGGGTCGTATTGGATGGCTTCCGCAGTCCGGACAGTGCTGTCCGAACAGTTATGGGAGGTTTACGGGTCCGCCTTGGAGATGCCCAGACTATCGCTATTTTTTAAAAATAATACATTTTTTATTAATTTGCATAAATATTACGTCGGATACATAATTTCCAAAGATAATACACCATCGGCTAGCTGCTGACCGGTTGGATCCAGTCGGCCTAGAGGTAGCCAATTGGACCCCAGTCGGCTTGCTGCCGGCCGATTGGCATCCTAACAGCCTTCTGGTCACCGACAGACCTATCGGCCACTAATAGAGATCCTGTCGGCCATCTGTGGGCTGACTAGAACTAATCGACCATCTGTAGGCTGACTAAGACTAATTGATTGTGCATCATCAGCATCTCGTAAGAATTAGTTTTCATTTATTTTAATCTTAAAATAAGGATTAATTCAACCCTCATGTTTTCCCTGAAGAGCAAACCCAAAAATCTTGCCAATTGTTCAAAATACCTTTTCTAAACAAGAGCACCCTCCACATAAAAGGAGTGTCAGGCAAATTATGTTAGCCAACCTCATGGGATCAGGGCATGCTAGGTTCGCTATATCAAACATACATTTCGCTTCAATAGCGTCGAGGTTTGTGGATATACTTGTGGCAGCACAGTTTAATACGACAGTTTCAATGTGCACTCTGGTAGCGGCAAAGGCACTCGAGTGGCTAGTACGGCTTATGGGTGTTAGTCAGCCAACATTTTGTATGTATTGTGGTACTTTAGGCCTAGTCTAGCTAGGCGATGTTAAGGTTTTCGCTCGGTTTTCCTCGATAAACCGAGCAAACCTTTTCTCATCACTTTTTTGGTGTTTATACGATACATTTCTTATTTTGGAGCGTTTTTGTAATACCCTTTTCTAATCAATGGATTTGATAACTCTCTTGGAACATAAAAAGGACAAACGATAAGTGCCACACGTGTGGCACCTAAGGGTTCAGCCCACACATTTTATTTTTCTTTCCTCACATGCATGCATACAAGGACAAAAAAGATGATGTCAATATGAATCTTTTCGTTCTTTTAAATTTTAAAATATTTTATCTCTTAAATAAAAAATAAGATTAAAATTCCGTTTCCACCATTAAATCCACTGTGATGAGATCTTCAAAACTAGATCATATATTGATATGTTTCGATGACTTTTTTGGGGTCAAAAGTTACCATGTCTATATCACTAAAATTGCCATGGTGTTTACACTAAATTACCATGATATGTTCCACCTACTTTGCTTCTAGTTTTAAAGCTAACATTGTATTTCAACTACTTTTCACTCATCAGGGCGAGGGTCCCGGTGAGCCGCGGCTATGGCACGTGGACCCGAAGCAGATATCCGGCTAGGGGGGAGGTGATATGCAGCATGGCGGGCTCCTGGGACAAGGATACGTCGAGGTGATTCTCGGGTGCATCTCAATATGCGGCGACAGTGGAGAAGGAGGTGTGGCTCGGGTGGAGCGGTTGTCGGCGGCGCGATGCTGCGCCGACGATGACTCTTTCTTTTGTGTCCAAGGCAAATCTACTATACGGACCACGACAATTTTTTTCTATCTACCCATGGCAAACTCTTTTCCTTTTTGTGTCCAGGGCAAATCTAATATTTATTTTGTCATGGCAAATTATGGTGTTTTCTTGCCACTGTTTAAAAAATCGGCACCATTTATCTTTTGGGCTAATTTATCGCTCTCACAAGCAATTTATAGGAAATATAGCGATAAATCGAGCCTATTTCTAGCACTATGTGTGCAAGAACTATGTTTATTTGTGTTTTGTGGCCTAGTTGTGTGATATGTACAACTATCCTATTTTTTTGTCATTGTACCAGCACTCAAAGGTAAGGAATCAAGGTAACACTTTTGTCCGATATTGTTTTTATGTTGAATATATCATATTTTAGTGCCGAAAACCTAGGATTTGTAAAAAAATGATTCATTAATAGTCAACCAATAAAATTGATTAATCATCCGATGTCCGATTAATCTGTAATCCTCAGCCAACCAAGACACTAACGATAAGGGATATCATCACTAGGTCCGCAAAACACAATGGATCATGGCAGATAAACATGTGTTGCCGTGACAAGTGTTGGAATATTTATTTATGAACCATGGCAAACTTTTACTTCATGGATCATGGAAATTCTTTAGTAATTCACCATGGCAGGTTTTAGTAATTGATCATGGTAATTTTAGTAATTACCCGTGACAAATTTACTTTATGGAACATGGCAATTATTAGTAATTCATTATCGCAATTTTAGTTTATAAATCATGGCAATTTTAGTAATTTGACCATGGCAAATTATTATTTTTTGAACCATGGCAAATTTTGTGCATGGATCATGGCAATTTCTAGTGATTCACCATGCCAATTTTGGTTTATGGTTCATGGCAACTTCTAGTCATTTGAACATGGCTTTTTTGAGTAATTGACGATGGATTTGTTTAATTATGAACCATGTTAAAATTAGTTCATGGATCATGGCAAATTTTACTAATTCATCATGACAATTTTTAGTTTCCTTTTTTTCACACCATGACAATTGTTTGTTTTATTTTTTTGCAACATGGTAAAATGATGGAAAAGAATTATTTTTTGTTTGATCTTGGCACTTTTTAGCTTTTATGAGATTAGTGCAAATGTAGTCTACACTTTACCTTCTTCGACCATGGCAAAATTCATTATTTTCTGTAACGTATAAAAATTTAATTTAAAACCTAGGAATTTTGTAATGTGTCAAAATTTAATTTAAAACCTAAAAATAGTTGAAACATATCATGACAACTTTAGTGTAAACACCATGACAATTTTAGCACTGTAGACGTGATAACTTTTGATCAAAAAATTTATCATCAAAACATATCAATATGAGATCTAGTTTTGAAGATCTTGCCACGACGAATTTAAAGATGAAAATAGATTTTCAGTCGGATTTAATGGTGTAAACAGATTTTCAGTCGAAGAGATAAAATATCTTAAAAACTGAAAACCCCAAAAGATTTTCATCGGCATATTTTTTGTCCCTCTTTACATTCATGCATGAAATAAAAAAAGTGATAAAAGACTGACGTGGCGTCTTTCAGCCCACACGTTCAGCACTTATCACGTCCAAAAAAAAAGATAAAAAAGGAGAGCTCCCCGGCTTCATTCAGAAAGAAGCCTGAAAAACATAACCACAAGCACCTACAAAGATTCAAAGTCCTCCTAGGACAAAAGGGAAGGGAACCGACTACCTAAAGGCAGAGAATCCATCTAAGTTGCTCCGGCCCAGAGCACCATTATTACAAAAATCTCATACATGGATAAGGAAACACGTCAACAAAGCAGTAATTAGGCGGCACCAGGTGAGTTCACACACATCACGTCCAGGGTAGACACTGGGCTTTCCATCGATCCAGCGACCTGCTGAGATTATCACTAAAGAAACGCCAGCGCCAGCTGCTATTCAGCCGGTCACCATACTGAGTGAGAGATACATGAGGGGGGACGCCTCCTTGACAAACCGTTTCAGTTTGTGAGCGAGTTGGAATCATATCACGCATATCCCATTCACTAATATGTATACACAGCTCTAGTTTTTCATATCGAGCAGAAGGGTACAAAGGAAAAAGAGCTCCAGGTCGGGGAAATTGTGGTGGTGGTGGTGTGGTGTGGAGTGGGGGTGGGGGGTAAGAACAAACAGGATCAGATTTCTGTCATGCGTAAGCACCATCAGCCATGCATCGTGGCGGTCTTCTTGAAGTCGATCTTGTCAACCTTCACCTCGCCGTCAATGAGCTCGTACACGTAGACAACAACACGGAGGCCATCGATGTCCATGAGCACAAAGCTCGGGTTGACGTCATATGTGATGCTGCTGTGGGCGCCCGTGCCTGAGCCAGGGTTGATGACGACACCCCCCTCGTGCTTGTAGGCCTTGAACTGATGGGTGTGCCCGGTGACGAGGATGTCCACATCCAGCTGCCTCTGGAGCATCGCTAGGGAGTCCAGGTCGCCCCATGGAACAACCTGATGATGGTCATCAGAGTTGAAATGGTTAGGAAAAATATTCCAGTGACAATCATTAACAAACCGCACAATCCCAAGATGGAAGTAAGTATTGGTACCGACAACATGAAAGACAATTTTACTAGAATAATATCACATTGGTCTATCAAAATTCAAGAGGTACTTGTTCCAAGATAGAGGAGCCCTCCTGCTAGGCAGAGGCAGAGCCAGGATTTCTCAAAGCCTAGGGCTAAAACTAAACGGTTTTAAATAACACCAAATACCACACATATTAGTGCATCCTAGAAATACGCCACAAATTCACATTCAAAACAAAATATGAATTCATTATTACCACAAGAACAAATTTCGTACTGATTTCATCAATTTAACAAAGTGCATCATTGCAAATGGGTAATAATATAGCAAAATTGACTAAAGTAATAGTACAATCAACAATTCATTGGCTTCAGATTTCTTTTGTGGACTCAGCTATTTTTTGGGGATAGAGAGATTCATTGGTTTCCGGTGATACTCCCTCTGATATGTCTGATACAACACTAGAAAAAGAATAGCTGATACAACACTAGAGATTGCCTGTCCAGATGGTTGTGGAGATGGAGCCGAACAGGAGGCTTGAAGCCTGAAGGAGGGCCGCTCCGACGAAGCGACGAGCATCAGGTGCAGCTGCGCAGGTCTGGATCGTCCCATCTGTCGAGGGGGAACGCCTGGGGCGGCGGCGCAGGAAACAAGCCAATGGGGATGCTACAGGCGCGTGACCGATCGCATCCGTGCAGTGGGCGAAAGGATCACAACAGACCAACCTGGCTTCGTGTGGGTTCCTAGCGATGGCAATCTCAGTTGGGCTGGAGAACGTGAGAAGGTAGATGGGCTGAGCTGCTGAGGCCTGGGGCTGGGCATTCACGTATGGGGCTAGGCCTCTTTAGAGCTACAAATATCCAGAATTTATCCTGGGTGTTACAACACGGGTTGGGCCACGCCTGGGGCTATAGCCCCAGTTGCCATAGGCCCAATTCCGCCCCTGCTGCTAGGTAGCGACCTCCTCCTCCCCTCCCGCTCCCACGCTGGCCGCAACACCGGCACCAGCGTCCACTCTGACTCCAGCGGCCACCTCTCATCTCCCCACCCCACGTCCATAATTTGCTAATAGAAGGCTTGGGCGTGGATTGATGATTGTTTCTTCTTGCCGGCTGTCGAAACGAGGGGCAGCATCTTGGTGGCTTGGACAAGTCACGCGGTTGGTTGAGCAATTGCATTAGAGCAACTCCAACCGGGCGACCCATTTCATCCACCAATGTCCGTTTGGGTCGCCGCGGACAAAAACGCAGGCCCAACGCACCGACCCAAACCCAAAATGCGTCTGCTTCGTGTCTGCGCCGACCTATTTCAGTGAAATAGGTCGGCGCAGACGCGCCGCACGTCCCCTTGGTGTGCGCCGCGGCCCCACATGTCAGCAGATGCGGTCGTATTTAACACGGGCCCACGCATCAGCGACTGGAAGATATGGGGGTGTCCTTTAATCCACGCGTGTGGGGGGGGCGGCCTCATGCACTTCCACTTTGTCTGCCCGTCCACATCTAGCCGTGTGCTCCCTCATCGGCGACAAAGCAAACCCTAGCCACGGGCTTCTTCGGCGGCTCCAACAAGAAGGGGAAGCTCACCCCCAGCGCTTCCTCCCCCCGCGCGCTTCCTCCTCCGGCTGTACATTCTGGTGCACCGAATGCAGTGGCACTGGGAGTTCAGGCAGCCGCTGCCGTACCCGGACGTGACGCTACCGCACTACTGGCATCTGGGTCCGCAGCGGATTCCGATGCATAGGCGCCGGGAGCTGCTCACGCCGGAGCAGCGACGAATGCTGGAGTACGCGTCGGACTCTCCCCATTGGGAGGTCTGGTTTGCCCTCGAGCACGAGGTGCAACGGCGTCATGGCGTGCAGCACCACCACACCAACCCCCGCCTCCCCTAATCGTCAAGCCAGAGGAGGAGGCTACCTACCAGGCGGCGCTGGCAGCGGCCATGCAGACCTCCATCGAGGAGTGGCGCAAGGCGGAGGCGGACTACCATGCGAGGCCGGCGGGGGCCCTCGCCCTCTCTGCGGCCG